CCCGGAGACATCTGGCGGCCAGGTCGACAGTGAGTTGGAAATGGCCAAGGAAATCCGCACCCAGAATCGGATAGCTGACGTCAGCAACGACGAAGACCCATTTGAAAGTGCGTCGGAGACCTAAGTCTAAATCTAGCAGCTGCTGACCGTACGTGGCGATGCTTCTCTGATTCGCTGCACGGAGAAGAGGACTATTGCGATGAACACGACGAGACAGAGTTACGAATGACGGAGGACGAACGCTGACGGCGGCGCCGGTGTCGACAAGGAACTCGACGGACTGGGAGCGATCCTTGACGAATAGTAAGCGACCGGTAGCGGTATTCGAGGGGCCAACCACACTAGCGGTCGCGACTAGTGGCTGGCCTTCCCGTTTCCCGACAGGAATCGGCAGGGGTCTCGGCATTTCTTCGCCTTCTCGCCGAACACACGGTGGTACCAGCAAAGGTCGTCGTGGTCGTCACGGCCGGGAGACCTGGAGGTACTCGGGCGACGTGACGGTGGCCCGGGACTACGCTCTCGTTGGCGGCCACGCGGGGAAGGGGCACCGGTGTCACGGGTTATCACATTCACAGCGGACGTCAGCTTGACGAGTTCGGCTCGGAGCTGGGCCATCTCAGCCCTGTCAGCGGTGCAGGCCTGTTCCGCATCTGTGGACGCTGTAGATCTACATGATAAAGGCTGTACTAGACCGAGCAGGCGCTGCACTCAGAGCGTGAACACTTGTACCGGTGAGCGGGGTTGAGCACGTGCTTTCAACCACCTTGTCAGCAAGCACGGCGAGGTCGTCCAGGCTGAGGCTTGCAAGTGTTGCCGCCAGAATCAGGCGGACCGCCACGGGCAAACGCTGTACAAACAGCTCGCGCAGGATAGTTGGGTCTAGAGACTTACTGCCCAAAAGCTGTTGCATGCGTCGGAGGACGCGACTTGGTCGGCTGTCCCCGATGTCCGCTGTCGAGAGTAGCTCACGCAACCCTGCCTGATCGGAATTTTGGGTGCGTGCGGTGAGCGCCTCTTTCAGGACTTGGTACGGCTCCTCGGCTGGCGGCGCTAGGAGCAAGTCCCGAATCTCAGCGGCGTATTCAGGAGCAAGCAAACTCACGACAACATTGTACTTGGCCCGCGGGTTGGTGATGCGATGGTTGGCAAAATGCGCTTCTGCCTGTGCAAACCAAAGTTGCGGGTCGCCGGGCCAGTACTGCGGCAGTCGGAAGGTGATGGCACACACCGGACGGTCCGGTGCGTCGTGTTGGTCGTTGCGGGCGAGTGGTTGGTTTTGGGCCGGGGCGGAGGAGCTAGCGGCAGCTGAAGCTCCAGAGGCGGAAGCGGAAGAACCATCGTCGCTGGACATATTGCACTTTACTCACGTCGGAGATCACCAATTTAGTAGTCTAGATACAGTGCAACGAGTGTTAGTTTCCAAGATCTTTACAAGACTGGCGAACACTAAAATTAATGTCATGAAGAAAGTGAAGAGAAAGGAGGTTTATATAGGAAAAAGATTGTGATAGAAGACTGTGCAATGAAGTTTGTTGTTTTGTTAGATATCTGACGTGTGCTGTTTGGAAGAAGTGTTAGGATGCAAACAGAACTTAGGCCCCGGTCACACATGCACTTTTTTTGGCGGTTCCGCCAAAGCGTAACTTACGCTTCCGCCGTTGCCTCGGCAACGGCGGAGGCGTAAGTTACGCTTTGGCGGAAAGTTTGGATTTCGCTACGCCAAAAAAATGCGAGCGGAGCCTCCGCTTTGGCGGAACCTGTATGGTGATGGCTTTTGAGTTTGGTGTGCTACTTTTGCACTGAGTTCTGGTGTTGTTTGATTGCCGTTTGGTATTCAGTTTTCGTATTGTTCTTCTTTGCCAATGAACTGTACGTTCTGGAGATCTCGCAAACAATACTGCATCGTTATGAGTGGATAATTGGTGAGGGAATCCGTCTCCCAACTCATTGGCCCCGATCGCGGACGATCTCCAACTCTCTCCTTCTCTCTCCAAGCAATACGTCCACCAGAGTATGCAACACTAGGACTGCAACCAGGGAGTAGCAGAGTACTCTGCCACACCCTCACTGCAACTGCAGGCATCCACGCAGTCGCTGGGTCGATGATAGATCATGGAGGAGGCAACGACACCCTGCTATAAAACTATTTGAATTTGATATTGATGTAAACTAAACTAATATTCAAATACACCTGTACTGGGCCGCAGTGAATGTGCCCCAAATCCACGAGTGTACTTGACAGGAGACATTCAGCAGCCTGCCAGCGATCCACGATAGCTCTACTTTTACAAGCGAAGGTCGCTTCAACTCGGACAAGAACATCTAAAATTTCATAGGACGTGCTGCATTTTCATTCTCTCCGCCAAAGCGGAGCGTTGAGGAGCACAGTAGTCTACATGTATGTGTGACCGCTGCATCGTGTGGTCCGCCAAAGCGGCTGCGGTAGTTCCGCTTTCCGCCGCGCAAAAGCGGTGCAAGCTTTTCATGTGTGACCGCTGCCTTACTAAAATTTCACCAGTTGTATGTATGTATGTATATTTTTATTTGAATTCGCAAGTACACACGGGCTACAAGCCCAATTACATGGAAGCGAATGCCATAATGAGGCCAATTGAAGGGGAAAACCGGAGCTCAACAAAATTATAACGTACAAAGTCATAATAAGAAGTCAACTGGATGAGAAGTTGTAGTCTTCGGGGTGCTGAGTCGAATGGTCTTGGTCCGAGAAAGCTGAGACGCTCCCTTCCTACTTGAATCCCAATCGAAATCGCACACTTCCACCGAAACTGGGTGACTGCGCCCTTCTAGATGGGGATTTGTATGCAAAAGGTCACTAAAAGCGCCGTTTCGTTCTTATAAAAGCACGGATGACCGCGATTGGCCCATATGTTGTAGTCTTTTGGACGCTGAGTCGACTGGTTTTGGTCCGAAAAGGCTGCGATGCAGCGTTCCTCCTTTATTCCCAATCGAACATGGTTGAAGAAGCGGTCACGTGCTCCTGCGTACACCAGTCAGCTGGTCACCGTGCCTGCAGGGTACAACTTACTAGCCTGTTTGACCTTGTTTGGGTGCAGTCCTGTCATTCGAGTTGAACTCGAGTTGAACCTTGGTGTGAAAGTTGTCGCCTGCTGGCGCGGTGACCAGGTGATTTGGGCACCCAGGAGCACGTGATCACTTGTTCAACCATGTTCGATTGGGAATAAAGGAGGAACGCTGCATCGCAGCCTTTTCGGACCAAAACCAGTCGACTCAGCGTCCAAAAGACTACAGCATATGGGCCAATCGCGGTCATCCGTGCTTTTATAAGAACGAAACGGCGTTTTTAGTGACATTTTGCATACAAATCCCCATCTAGTAGGGCGCAGTCACCCAGTTTCGGTGGAAGTGCGCGAGTTCGATTGGGATTCAAGTAGGAAGGAAGCGTCTCAGCTTTCTCGGACCAAGACCATTCGACTCAGCACCCCGAAGACTACAACTGGTGAAATTTTAATTTTTGCCTTAACTTCCCCTTTCATCAAAAGATGTCGTAATGTGTATTGGAACTAGGCTAGCCAAACATTACATAATTATTATGGTAGCGAAGTACGTGTAGTAGGTATTACAATGTGTGCGAGAGTATGGTGAATCAGTGTTTGTGATGATGAGGAAAATATGACGTGTACATGCAAACAAATGATGATATCATGATGCGAGAACGTCAGAGACGCTACAATGGCACTTTTAATGTTTTATTTATTTTATTTTTTACAATGTAGTATATGTGTCAACAACAAATAACTCCAAAGCACGAAAAAGGCCAAAAACTAAACCAAGAACATGTGCAATAACATGTTATTTAGAAAGACAGGACAAGTGAATAATTAGTCAGTCCATTGTTCATGATGGTCTCTGACGGTTACGTCGGCAAGCGAGCCTCCGCCACTGCCAAAGCAGCGTGGGCTCCGCAGGAGGGTGCAAATTTCAAACTAAAATTTAAACGCCTACAACCGCGAATGCACATGATACAGGATTTCAGAAGGCTGAAGGAAATCCTGCATCTAACAAAATGCATGGCACTTGGCACTTTTAGTGACATTTTGCATACAAATCCCCATCTAGTAGGGCGCAGTCACCCAGTTTCGTTGGAAGTGCGCGAGTTCGATTGGGATAAAAGTAGGAAGGGAGCGTCGCAGCTTCCTCGGACCAAGACCATTCGACTCAGCACTCCAAAAACTACAACTGGTGAAAATTCGATTTAAATACTTCCCCTTTAATTTATTGGCTTTTACCTGACTGTGTGTATTGCGTCGGTGCTAGACCTTTCCCAAAGGTGCTCGCTCTTTTTTCGCCCTTTTTCGCCCTTTTTGGAAAAGTCCCTTTCTTTCGCCCTCGCATTGCGTTTTTTGGTGAATATCGCCCTTTTTGAGCTTTTTTAGCTGAAAAAGTGCTAAAATCTGTTTGCTCATGCATGTGATCACAGTTTCCGAGTGCTCGATGAGCCTTGGCACGCCGCTTTTTTTGGGGGGGGGGGGGGGTGAAGCTTGTACCTAGTACCTGGTGTACACAATAGTGTCAATACTATAAAAAGTGGGTTTTTTGAACTTTACTTCCTGTTTTGCCTTTCGTGGACCCATAAATCCAAACCCGAACAGTGCGTATTTCAGTGCGTATTCATTTCTCTATATTTTCTGCATGTTCGGCATTTTCCACCGATGATTGCAGACAGAATATCGATTCTGTAAAAGGGGAACACAAAGATTCTCTTACAGTGGTCATGTTGTGTGGTGATGTCTGTTCATTCGTACTTTTCTACATCCGTCTATTATGACTTTGTTAACCCCAACAACCGAGTCCAGCCGAGTCTCTGCCACACCAAATACACCGCCATGTGCTCTTGTTCTAGCAGTGTACCCCCCCCCCCCCCACCCCCCAGGACAATCTAAAGCATGGATCCGTGATGTGCTTGAGAAATGTGTTCTTTTTTCGAATAATGGTGGTGAATTCACTCAACACCCCTTGGGTATTATCAGTTGGTAAATTACAAAACACACAAACCGGTGTTGTATCTTCAAAAACAAAACGAATCAGAGTAGGATTATCATGGTTGGATGAAACTTTCCCCTCCTACTAGTATTGATCAAGGATTACACTCAAAATCCAAAGGTACAAAAGTAACAAGTTATCTTTGAAAACTAGCGTTCTCATTAGAAAAATATTCACCTTTCAAATCTTCACATGCTTAACATGCCAGGAAACCCAGTGTTCTGTTCAAATAATAATATCGGAGAGCAGAGTTTCAGCGACATAGCCCATACAGGGTATGATGTTTGGTCAACGTTCCGTGTTAGAGTTTCGGTTGTCGTTTTTTGCCAGCTTAACCCTTCTTGGCCTCGAGTCGGGTGGCCTTGCTGCGCTGAGCAGACTTGTCACGGCTGGCCGAGGTGGTGGCGGCGAGCTTATAGGGCGTGATGGGTTCGTACTCCTTACCTCCCAGCTCCGTGACCGCAGTCATCTGCGAGGCCAGGCTCTTGCTGACCACGTGCGAGGTGGTGACCGTGCTCCGGCCACGGCTGGCAGCGGACTGCTCGGCGGCGAGCGGCGCGTACTCCTTGTCACCCAGCTCTCGTGACTGTCCTGTACATATCCATGCTTGCCTGGCCTTCGACCGCGCCATGGCCATCACCTTCGGCGAAAAAGGACGGCTGAATGTTGTCACTGGGTGCCATTGTCTCTTTCTCCCCTCCTTTCTTTTTCTTCTTGGACCAAGTCCTTGCACCCTCCCCTGCGATGACATCGTCATAGAAGGACCCAGTGTGCGAAAGAGTGTCCGCCGTGAAGGTCTGTAAGCTGACGGGAGCTAGCTCCTGGGATTGGTCAAGTGTTGTGCTGCTATATGCATTGACGCTAGCTGCGCTTTGGACATTGTCACCACATGCAATGCCAGTGGAGGTGGCAGCACCCTGGAGACCAGAGGCGCAGGGGTCCTGTGCGGTGGAGTGGGAGCTGGGAATGCTGACGTTGGAATTAGACTCGACCAGGCCCTTCGATCCAAGCCTGCTCACAAGACCCAGGTGAGTGTCAGCCCTGTGGAGCGCGGTCCCTGCAGGATATGCCTTGGAGAAGAGCGCGGACTGGGCTTTGTGTAGGCTGGTGCGATTGGTGCGCGACACCATTGTGTATATCTCTGGCGTCCCGTCCTGCTGCACTCGCATCTCCTGTCCGTCGGACTGGGCAGCATATCGCTCGAGTTGCAAGGGATGGATGGCATCGTTAGCAGCAGTAGGTGATTGACTGACGTGCATGCCGGCAGCAGTGTTGCTGGGTGTAGAGCGTGCGTCCTCCCTGTTGGAAAACTGCATTTCATCTGCCTTGAATGACTGCACGCTATAACTGCCAACAAAGGTGGATGGGGACATTGCCATTCGCTTTGTCTGTGGCTCGCCGAGCTCATTGGCCAGTGCGTCGATGTCCTGCTCAATGTACGATGCGTCATCCGGCAAGTAGACAGGAAAATCTCCGACATCAATGTATGCAATGTCCTTCGCGTGTGCCTTATGTACGCTGGGCCGATCGGATGGCGGTGCCGCCTCCGACTGAAAGGTATGCGTGGAGTTCGTCTGCGTCTTGTCCTGGTTCTGTGCTGGCTGCTCTGTTTTGTTCACCCAATCCCAGCTTCTGCAGGTGACAGGGAACGAATTCGAAACGGAAAGAACAACAAAACAGATATGGATCTCACGATTCGTATCCCGGAAATGTTTTGAGTTAGCACATTAAATTTTGTTTGAACGCACCCTCACAGCTTAGTAGTCAAGAATCGATTCAGCATTTCAAAGGAAGGTCTTAGCCCGGGCAGCAACTCTTGGCTCAATAGAGAGCTATGCTTATCGATTGGGCTGTGCACACACATACACCCACACAAACACACGAAATGCTAGTACACACACATACACACACACACATACACATACACACATACACACACACACACACACAAACACACAAACGCACAAACACACAAACACACACACACACGCATATACACACACACGCACACTCATACTCATACTCATATTCATGTCCATTGTTGAAGCAATGATAGCGAACAAGCTATGTCACAGTTAGACATAGCAACTTGGGCTGGGATTACACCATTGAAACAGCTTGCAAGGCTGACCGCCACTAATTTTAGCCTGGTCCACACCACACGGCTGGTTCAAGTGGCTTTTTTCTGGCCAGTGAATCCCTATTACGGACGGAAAATAGGGATTTACACACACACACACACACACACACACACACACACACACACACACACGCACACACCTCAGACCTCAGACATGCCCATAGCGGAAGCGATGATAGCGAAAAGCTATGTTCGACATAGCAACTTGTGCTGGGATTACACCATTCAACAGCTTGCAAGGCTGATGAATTGACCGCCACTATTTTTAGCCTGGTATCCACCACACAGCTGTTTGAAGTGACTTTTTCTGGCCAGTGAATCCCTATTTTTCATTTTTCTATTTTATTCTACCCACACACCACACCACATACTCCGGCATACACTGGCTGTTGGTAACCACCCAGGAGAATGAAAGAAAAGTCAGGAAGAGTCCGAGAAAGAGAAGAAAGACGTGTGCGACCATAATCGTCGGGAATTGAACCCGCAACCTCTCGATTGGAAATCGACTGCACATACCACTGCACCATATGGGACACACACACACACACACACACACACACAGACAAGCACACACACACACATTCACACTAGTGCTGAAACGATTATATCGATTACTCGTTACTTACTCGATAAGAAATAGATCGAACGGTTATTTCGATTTTATCGGCTAAACGAGTAGAATGGTACTTACACTCGGTACGGGATTTCCCCCCTTTTGGGGGTCGCACAAAGCGTTCATGCACCGAAAGTGTTGCGAGTACGACACGAATATGTACATGATTGTACACTTGCAACATCGATGTACGTGTAAAAGTACAAGCGCGATCTGAGAAACGTCGACGCGATCACCGTCGCCGTCTTTTGAACTGACTACTAGCACTAAGTCTTAGTCTTTTCTTACATACATTTGCAACCAGTGCGTTGCCGCTGTCTTGTCTGTATTCGTCTGGTCAGTCCGAACAGCTGACGGACTTGTTGCGGGATCATCGGATCCATGCGCCCGCTTTCCGTCGTTGGCGATGTTGGACTCGTAAATTTTTTGAAATTCACAGAATATACACGTACTGATGTACAGTGAAACCACCTGTCTGAGACGACCGCTGAAGGAACCTTCAAAACTTGGTCTTTGTTACCAGGTGGTCTCCTTATCCAGGGTTGTTTGACAGGAAATGGCATCCCCTCCTTCTAGTTTTAGTGGTCTTGTAGGACAGGTGGTTGCCTTATCCGAGTGGTCGCCTTGACAGGTTTCACTGTAGTTACAATAATAATCGTTTAGCCGATAAGCCGATCGTTATGGTATCAGATAAGCCACTAAGGAAAAAACGTAATCGTTTCAGCACTAATTCACACAAACCCAAGTGCCTCAAGCACACAGACAATAACCCAGTCACACACATACATCCACATACACAAGCAAACACACACACACAGACATACACACAGAAACACACAGAAACACACCGACACACACACACACACACACACACACACACACACACACACACACACACACACACACGCGCGCGTGCGCAAACAAACACACATAGACACTCACACCCACCAACATGTACACACCCAAACATTTGCACTCGCACAAGCACACATGTACCCCCAAGATGTTGTAATCCCAGCAACTCGAGCTGGAATTGAAACATTAAAGATCTTCCTAGTCTGAAGAATTGAGTGCCGCTAACTTTTAAAAATATTCACCAACCCGCAAACTGGCAATAATAGAAATGAAAATGAAATTTAAACGCACACAGCCACACCAAGTCTTTGAATGAAATAAACCTCTCCAAACCTCTCCAAATACAGTCAACTTTGCTAATAACGATTGCGGATATAACGACAATTCGCGAATAACGACAGAATTTCCATGCCCAGAGCAAAGTCCCATCTAACTGTAATACATATAATGAGACTTCGGGTATAAGGACATGTCGCGGATAAGGACACTTTTCTGATTCCCCGTCGAGTGTCGTTATATACAAAGTTGCCTGTGCTTCAGATGCTTTCCAAACTTTCGTCCGAGAGGGCATCTTCGGGAATTGTGACATGCAAGATGTGCTGGAGCTGTTAGCAAGTTAGTTGTAGAATGTCAGTACTGTTGGTCAGTGTCGTGCAATGGTATTGCATGAGCTGGTTGTTTAGTAACTGGTGTTAGTAGACATTATTATAGTCTAACTTGTAGTTCCTTGGTCCTTCTATAATTATATATGACAATAGCAATCATTATGACTACTTTACCACTGATCAGGAATCGTTGTTGTACTAAAGGACACTGAAACAAAATTGAACTATTATAGGAAACCTAAGTTAGAGAAATAACAAAGTGCACTGGAATATAATCCACACTGGAGCATAAGCCACACTGGGGTATAAGCCACACTGGAGTATAAGCCACACTGGAATATAATCCACACTGGAGTATAAGCCACACTGGAGTATAAGCCACACTGGAGTATAATCCACACTGGAGTATAAGCCGCACTGGAGTATAAGCCACACTGGAGTATAATCCACACTGGAGTATAAGCCACACTGCAGTATAAGCCACACTGGAGTATAAGCCACACTGGAGTATAAGCCACACTGGAGTATCAGCCACACTGGAGTATAAGCCACACTGGAGTATAAGCCACACTGGAGTATAAGCCACACTGGAGTATAAGCCGCACTGGAATATAATCCACACTGGAGTATAAGCCACACTGGAGTATAATCCACACTGGAGTATAATCCACACTGGAGTATAAGCCACACTGGAGTATAAGCCACACTGGAGTATAAGCCACATTGGAGTATCAGCCACACTGGAGTATAAGCCACACTGGAGTAAAAGCCACACTGCAGTATAAGCCGCATTGGAGTATAAGCTGCACTGGAGTATAAGCCACATTGGAGTATAAGCTGCGGTAGAGTACAAAAAAATAGAGATGCAAAAGGGACGCGGAAAGGAGACTGTCCCCAATGGCTGAGGAAGTTGAGAAACTGAAGGACGGAGCAGAGATGCTCAAGACAGTTGCTCTAATGACGAGGAAACGTGCCCAGCAGCTGGTGGTGGAGGATGACAAAGGTAGACTTGTAGGTGACACTACTGAGTCCCTTGACATCATCAGATCCCACTTCAATACACAGTTTAACCGACCTGATGCTACACCGGTCCTCCCGTTTCACGGAGATCCCCGACCTCTTCAAAACCCAATTACAGCTCATGAAATGTATTCGTGCATCAAGAAACTCAACAACAACAGAGCCTGTGGACCCGATGGGGTTAATGCAGAATGTTTGAAGTACGGAGGGGAGACGCTGGCCCAAGCCCTGGCTCAATGCCTGAATTGCATGTTTGAGACGCATCATCCAGTTGAACTCGGACAAGGCATGCTAATATCCCTGCCGAAGCCTAACAGAAAGAAGGGACCTCCTGGAAATCTTAGGCCTATTGTGCTGCTGAATTCAGCCAGGAAAGCCCTTTCTCTCCTTACACTGCGACGCATCCAGCCAGCAGTGGACAGCTATCTGAGTGCATCCCATAGTGGCTTCCGTCCTGGCAAATCCACGGCTGATGCAGTCTGGACGCATTGCTGGCTAGCCGCTATCACCCAGAAGTGCCATGCCATCATCGAGATACACGGAATAGATATGAGCAATTCATTCGACACAATACCAAGAGAGAAGCTGGTCACGGTGGTCAATGGCATCGTAAAGGAGGATGAACTTCCGACTTATCCGAGTGCTACATTCCTATACAAGCCTATCTGTGCTCACGTGTAAGCAGCAGTCATCCGCGGAGTTTGAGACCATGATCGGCACCTCACAGGGCGACTGCCTATCTCCAGTTCTTTTTGTCATTTACTTGGAATCAGCGCTATGTGACTTCAGGGCCACGTTACCTCCCAGGCCACCAGTTGATGAACTCTTGCCTGAGGAAGTTATCTATGCAGAATGCAGATGATACGGATTTTCTGAGCATCTCACGGACATGGTTGGACAGTATCAGCCCGAGCATAACTGAGGTCCTCAGAGAATGGCATCTCAAAGTGAACAAAGAGAAAACTGAGCAAACAACAGTACGCAGTAAAAGGGATCGTCTAGTAGAAATCTGGAGAAAGACAGGAAAGCTTGGGTCACTTCTGGGTGATGAACAATATTTGATCAGAAGGAAGCAGCTCGCAACAGCAGCTTTCATGTCACTCTTTGTGGTGTGGTGTCGACGAGAGCTTATTAGTGAGAAGCTGCGCCTGAGGCTCTATCAGGTGTTTGTCTTACCAGTACTAACGTACAAAGGCGGAACATGGGGCTTGACGGTGGCTTTGGAGCAGTCTCGATTCCTTCCACCGTCAGCAACTGCGATCACTCCTTAGCATTAGTTGGCCTCAGAAGATGACGAATGTCTCTTTGTACGCCAGGTGCAAAGCTGAACCAATCACCAACATTCTCAAGCGTCTGCGATGGCAACTCTTTGGTCACCTTCTCGACTTACCAGAGGACACCCAGCATCATTGGCAATGGCAGCGTATTTCACGCACGATGAGAAGACCTGGCGAGGACGCCCACGTGTCACAATTGTCACGAAGCTGTCGGAAGACCCAGCGAAATCGGAAAATGGAAGGCTTGTGTCGCTTGGTGACTTGCAGCTCCTCCGGATCCTGGCAAGGGACCGTGCAGGGTGGAGAGGACTTTGTGCGTCGTATGTTCCTCTTGACTGGATTACACAGAACAGATATTATAATGATTTATGTGTTTGGCAGAACATTCTATTTCCGGCATATGTGAATATGTGGGTTGCGATTGTGCGGCTGACATTGCCGCGGAAATGCATAATACTGTAAATGTACAAATTTTCGGCAGCTATTTATTTTCGGCTATATTCGGCATCGACCCAAAACGCCTCAATTAAAACGCCGATGAAATTTTTCACAGCATCTGTCGCACTATACTATGCCCTCTACCCCACGCCGAAAATAAATCGCCGCCGAAATGTCAAAAATCGTGAAGTGCCGAAATTTTGCAGCGCCGAAATTTTGTTTATTTACAGTAATAATAATAATAATGTAGAAGAGAAAAGGACACACAGTAAAACCTGTGACTAGCGACCACCCCTTGGTGCCAGCAAAAGCGGTCTTTAGTAGCAGGTGGTCTTTAGTTAGAGGTTTACACTGCGTGGCCATACATGGATCCCATTATATGATCATGTATGTCAAAAACGCAGCTAATACAATTCCCCAGGACTTGCCCAATACCATTCTTATTTCAGGTCAAACAACACTTGGAGAGAAAGACGGAGAGATGGAGAGAGACACAGAGAGAGAGAGAAGATTAATTTTTGCAGACATCAAATTCAGCTGCTACTTCTGAAGCCAGGAGTCAAACGTTCTCTGTGGAAGTTTCGTTTTGCGCTGGGCTTCGAATTTGTTCATGCGATCAATCATACCAACTGTCCTTGTTGTGACTGCTCGATTGCTTGAACGCGATCCTTCAGCATCAAGACCTTGCGGTGCTGCTTTGTTTCTGGATTCCTTGATGCCATCGTCGATTCGTCTGTATGACTGGGGTGAAAGATCGTGTTTATTCTTGACAGCGCTTGAAATTTTGACAGGTGTAGTGCAGTCCACACCGACTCCACAGTCAAAATGACCTGCGTTCATTTGTTCAGCTGTAGTATCGAAAGAAATTCTTTCCTTTTCTCTTCTACATTTATTTATGGCTCAACATCCGAGTTAAAAATTGCACACCTGATGAACCGTTACGAACCATACGGCGAAACGTACGTCGTGTGAAACAACTTGTTTTGTAGTCAACTAGTCCATCACAATGTCATGCATGAGGAGTACTGTAGGAGTTTGGCTTTCGGCTTGTACAATTCGTTTTCGCAAAGCTTCCCTTTCTTTACTTATCTTTGATATTTATGACCCACCCAAGTTGGGTGGTGTGCTGCTTTGCTGCTTCGAATTGTAGTTAGACCGCTTTGTCAAATATCGTACTGGTCTCGTCATCGTCCAGTAACAATCGACATTCTTTGTTCCGTTGGGACTGTAGCTTTTGCTCGTTTTCGTTGCGCTTGCCTTCCCCTCTTTGGTCTTTCCAAAACCTTGAACCTTCCAAGTTGGAAGGCTGTCGGTTAGCGCTACGGACATGTGTTGAAGTTAGGTGTCAGGACGTCGAATGTCTCAGTACTCTGTCAGTTTTGCGCCTAGTTATTGCACTTTCTGACTGTATATAGTATCATGTTACAGTGATGGAGAGTTACTCTTAACTCGTATCCATATGTCCTTTTCTCTTCTACAATAATAATAATAATAATAATAATAATAATGATAATACAGTACAAATCACACCGGAGAATAAACCGCAGCCTCCATTTGTCCATTTGTTTGCTGGTGAAAGTTAAAGCATATGGGTCAGCTATGGATAATCATCTTGTGGGGAATAGTTAGCGTAGTTCAAGATACTGCGTTGTTTCTTTTTCAGTCCTATCTTGTGTATGTAGTCAGGGTTATGTGAATGTAGTGGTGTCAAATTACATCTTTAATACAAAACCGGACCTTTGTAAGAAAAGGAAAGAACAAAAAATATTGATCCTGAAGTTTAAACAAACGGCTATTCTGAAATTTATAGGATTGGGAGAACTTCAAAATTCAAAGGATGAGCCGGGGAAGGGAACTGCCTGAAAAGAGAATAAAAGCTAGACCCACCATGACTCAAACCCAGGACCTTGCTTGTCATGAGCAATGCTCTAACCATCTGAGCTATGGGACCAGGCAGAACTTATGAGGCGCTGACAAGTCTTTTACTCAAAAGGCAGCTGACTTCGTTCTTCCCCTCTCCCCACCCCCTCCCCCCACCCCTTCCCCCCACACATTTGTATCCAGATCACGCTATCTGTATGCATCAAACCAAAGAAAACTCACGAGGGTTCTTGGATTGTCTTCTTGATGGGTTCGAACCCCGTCATACCAGATTCCTGTTTCTGCAAACGCTTCCGTCGTACCATGAAGCCCGCAAACGCCAGGAGCATGCATCCAGCCAAGATCAGCGGCAAGAAGATAAGAGCGAGGTTCAAGGTACTGCCCTTGTCATCGTCGTCATCACCATCATTGCCATTGCCGTCTCCATTGTTTTGAGCACCTGCCCTATGAGTTGCTTCGCGTGATTCGGAGAGAGTCAGAGAACCGTGCACGGCATAAGAGTGGTTCCTGCTGGCAATCTCGTCGTCCCATGCTTGATTTTCATCTTCAGGATTTGAGGCGCGTGGAGCAAAGACCTCGCCGTCTGCACTATTGTTCATCTTATTGGCTGTCGCTGTAGTGTAGTCTCCCGTATTACCAGAGCTGCTTTTCGTAGAAATCAAACCATCTCTTTTCGTGGTTGTGTTGGGGGCGATGTATCCAGTAATACCGGAGCTGCTTTTTTGAGAAGTCAAACCTTCTGCCTGCATGGCAGTTGGTGCTATTGGAGTGGTAGTACTTTCGATGACCATATCCGTGTGCCCATCAATGTTTTTGGTATTATCTGAACCAGTATCTGATTCAGCCGGACCTTGCACTTGCATGGCAGGGCGGCCAGAGGTGTTTTCTGGAGTTCTGAGTCTGGTTGCCGTTGTGCTGTTGAATGCAGTGGTTGTTGAAGTGGTTGTTGGAGTGGTTGTTGGAGTGGTTGTTGGAGTGGTTGTTGGAGTGATTGTTGGGGTGGTTGTTGGAGTGGTTGTTGGAGTGGTTGTTGGAGAGGTTGTTGGAGAGGTTGTTGGAGACGTTGTTGGAGACGTTGTTGGAGAGGTTGTTGGAGCGGTTGTTGGAGTGGTTGTTGGAGTGGTTGTTGGGGTGGTTGTTGGAGTGGTTGTTGGAGTGGTTGTTGGAGTGGTTGTTGGAGTGGTTGTTGGGGTGGTTGTTGGAGTGGTTGTTGGAGTGGTTGTTGGAGTGGTTGTTGGAGTGGTTGTTGGAGTTGTTGTTGGAGTGGTTGTTGGAGTGGTTGCTGGAGTGGTTGCTGGAGTGGTTGTTGGAGTAGTTGTTGGAGTGGTTGCTGGAGTGGTTGTTGGAGTGGTTGTTGGAGTGGTTGCTGCAGTGATTGTTGGAGTGGTTGTTGGAGTGGTTGTTGGAGTGGTTGTTGGAGTGGTTGTTGGAGTGGTTGTTGGAGTGGTGGTTGGAGTGGTTGTTGGAGTGTTTGTTGGAGTGGTGGTTGGAGTGGTTGTTGCAGTGGTTGTTGGAGTGGTTGTTGCAGTGAATGTTGGAGTGGTTGTTGGAGTGGTTGTTGGAGTGGTTGTTGGAGTGGTTGTTGGAGTGGTTGTTGGAGTGGTTGCTGGAGTGGTTGTCGGAGTGGTTAATGGGGTGGTTGTTGGAGTGGTTGTTGGGGTGGTTGTTGGAGTGGTTGTTGGAGTGGTTGTTGGAGTGGTTGTTGGAGTGGTTATTGGAGTGGTTGTTGGAGTGGTTGTTGGAGTGGTTGTTGGAGTGGTTGTTGGAGTGGTTGTTGGAGTGGTTGTTGCAGTGGTTGTTGGAGTGGTTGTTGGAGTGGTTGTTGGGGTGGTTGTTGCAGTGGTTGTTGGAGTGGTTGTTGGAGTGGTTGTTGGAGTGGTTGTTGGTGTGGTTGTTGGAGTGGTTGTTGGAGTGGTTGTTGGAGTGGTTGTTGGAGTGGTTGCTGGAGTGGTTGTTGGAGTGGTTGTTGGAGTGGATGTTGGAGCGGTTGTTGGAGTGGTTGTTGGAGTGGTTGTTGGAGTGTTTGTTGGGGTGGTTGTTTGAGTGGTTGTTGGAGTGGTTGTTGGAGTGTTTGTTGGAGTGGTTGTTGGGGTGGTTGTTGGAGTGGTTGTTGGAGTGGTTGTTGGAGTGGTTGTTGGAGTGGTTGTTGGAGTGGTTGTTGGAGTGGTTGTTGGAGTGGTTGTTGGAGTGGTTGCTGGAGTGGTTGTCGGAGTGGTTGTTGGAGTGGTTGTTGGAGTGGTTGTTGGGGTGGTTGTTGGAGTGGTTGTTGGAGTGGTTGTTGGAGTGGTTGTTGGAGTGGTTATTGGAGTGATTGTTGGAGTGGTTGTTGGAGTGGTTGTTGGAGTGGTTGTTGGAGTGGTTGTTGGAGTGGTTGTTGGAGTGGTTGTTGGTGTGGTTGTTGGAGTGGCTGTTGGAGTGGTTGCTGGATTGGTTGTTGGAGTGGTTGTTGGAGTGGTTGTTG